CTTCCTAATTTCTGTACGCATACATGGCTTTTTCAAGATGAACATAATGGAACATTGCACGCATACATGGCTATAGGTGTATCTTTCAAGAAACCTGTGCAAAAATTATCATTATCAATTAGACTGCTGAGGATAAACCACGATAACTAGTCCCATCCACTATCTAATTTGCTCTGAATTCAAGGGGGTCATCTTAAAACTTTATGCTTGTGCAAATGAAGCTCTCCCTTTTGAAGCCCACTCTCAGTTAAACAATTTCCTTGCTTACAAAACTTTGTTTATGTGAAGGAAGACTTTAGCATGGTTCACTAACTTATGTCGAGGCAGAAGGAAGCAGGATAGGATAAAAAAAGAACACCCAACTGTTTTGGTGAACGGGATGAGACCAAGGGATTTGTCAAAGCTTCTCTCATGGTCAAAGCAATTCAAACGTGGGGAGTGCGCTTTGATTGAGTATTCAAATAGTTCCCTCCACTTAAAACAAATACTTTCATGTGGTACTTGGATGTGTGTATGTGGATATGAATGTGGTACTTGGATGTGTGTATGTGGATATGAATGTATTTATGGGGAATTTGACAATTGAACGAAAGCATTCTGTCTATATGATTGACGCGTACTAATTTGTAGCGTTAATTGCGGATAGACACCCCATACTATCGCCCAACTACGGATAAACCCCCTATAGCTTTATTGTCGTAGACAGACTCGTTAAATGAACTTTTTGTTGACTTTTTTTACCATAGTAGAAAGAGAAAATTAATGTTTTTCGAAAAATCGACTCTACGTGTTTATTATAGAAAAAAAAAACATTCACTCAAGGGTTCTATCCGCAATTGAGTGATAGCACGAGAGGTCTATCCACGACAATAGAACTACAGAGGGTCTATTCGCAGTTGACCCAAATTGATATACGTAAGAACTACCCGATGCGCGCGCAACATTTTAATAAGTTACTGCACAGCAATTATTCAACTGAGGGTTGTAATATCGTAGTTAAAACCCAACTCTTTCTGCTAGTCTACTTGTTACAATATCTACGAAAGATGATCTAAAATTAATTTCTTCAAACTTTTAACATTAATTAAGAAAAACATTCCAACGCCATCTGCAAGTCTTGGGCTTCTGTCGGTTAAAACCTGTTGAATTTAATTCAAAGCCCTCATCATCATCGTCATGATCATCATACCGATGTTTACTTCAATATTAATTAAGCAAATGTGGTACTCCATCAAAGCTATTTTAATCACGCATCCCTGTCTAGTTTGCAGATGCGACGGTGACCTGAACATATCTAAGCTTGACAACATATGTATGAATGAAACTTCTGAGCACTAAATATTCCAAATGTGAAATCTGATAAAATATTCAGTTCTAAGATATCGTCGGTGGTATCTGCGGAGATTTATGTTTATCGTAAAATATATTAAATTATCAAACGAAACATGTACATACAAACAGCTGGATTCTTAGTCGTATGTTTTCTTATGATATTTTAAAATCCAAGGCTGTTAGATTTAAAATTGAAGGAGACAGAAATTCTGAGGCGTGAAACACTTTCATTAAAGAAATATTTGCCCCCACTTGATATTCAAAGTTGCTTCGGATTAATGCAAATTTTCTTCCCATGATACAACAGAAATTAAAAATTCCGGTAAGCAAATCTGGAATTTTCCTTAATTCGTTGTGAAACAAGTTTGTAATATTGCAGATGTTTTTGATAGAAAAGATCCAGAAACGAATTGTTAATAGATATCTGAAAACATAAACTATTTATAGGTTTGAAAATGTGCTTCCAACAGTCATAACTTTTCAAAACACCCATTGGAGCAAACAGCCACTTTTTAAGTGGTCACTTGTCTTTTCATAATTTTTTTAAAATTCAAAATAACATTTAAAAAATATATATATTCAATGTATAATTATATATATAATCGCGTCAAAATCGCGCTACCTGCACGCGGGTTTAGAAGCCTACACTTTGATCCATTATTCAAAGCCCAATAAGCATTCAATATTTTTAAACCTCTAAAAGAATGTTCAAAATTCCAATGTGGGACTATCTTGTTTTTTTTACAAACAAATACTAACAATTTCCTAGTAGCTCCCGCCTCTCTGGCTTAATTAGCTAATCCTCAGCCTGTGCACATCACGAGACTATTAGCTTAATTAGCTAATTATGCTGACGCAATAATACAAGATCACCTTTTTTTGGGTTGTCAAATGATGGGTCTTGACCCGTATTGAGTGGACTTGGGCTGAAGCAAAATGCCGTAACGAGAAGCGTTTTACCTTTTTTTGGGAAATATTGTGTCATAGCCCCCTATTTTTCAAAGCCCGTGTGTCCCAGTGTGTTGGGCCACAAATTGTATAATGTGGCAATGGGGCCGCTGGGTTGAAAATAATGTGTTTGTCTACTTGCGACTTGAGGTGAAAGTATGAAAGTGGCTTTTTTTTTAGTGCGAAAATGTATCTAAGTCAGACATACATTGTTTATTTGCTAAAATAAGTAAACAAGTAAACAAGTTATTGTTGAAAGTAGAAAAGTGAGGATGATGTGACAACATTATTTTGTTTATTTATATATTAAAAACCCATGTTTTTCTTTAAATCACTCTCCTTCTCTATTTACCATTTTGAACCATATCCAGGACTGAGATCATGTAGTCATCAGCACCGATTTAACAAAATAAATAAAACCTAAGACATATATACCCAAAACTAAGCAATCATCATGGATAGTTCTAGTATAATCTCACTGGCAAAATTTTAGCAAAAAAGAAATTCTTGGTATTATTAACATTATGATCAAATTATTTTTGTAATACTTGCAAATGGAGATGAGAGAATCACAAATAACACCCAAGCTACAAAATGTAAATAACCCAATTATTCATTTTTAATGAAAACAAATATCAGTGACATATTTCAAACTATTGTTGCAACAAAAATTGATGAGAATAAGTATTCAAAACGCGGGGAAAAACAGTGGGATTAGTTCTATGGAGGTAAAAAATAAAAAGGGAAAATACAGCGGGAAGAGAAAAGAGGTGTGAGAGAAAAATTAGAGGATAGGAGATATCGTTAAAGATGAAACAAATTTGATATATTAATTATTATAATATTTTTAATATAATGTGGTCCCCACTTTCCACTTTCATGGCTCACTTCTGCACTTTTTTTAGGGGATGTTGAAATTGTAAAAAATCTAATGTGGACTATATTTTGGATCTCAGTTTCACTATCACTTTCAATAAAACAAACAAGTGAAGTCTCAAGAATAAGTGATTTTCATACTTACAATTTTCACTTACAACTAAACAAACACCCTCTAAGTGCGATATGATGAGAAAATTGGAGGGAAAGTTGGGCAATTTCCCGCCATAATCCATTAATCCTCTCAAGATCCTGAGTTCCTCTCAATTCCTCTTATTTATTGTTTGTATTCTCTTATTTATGGTGTTAGTATTTATGTTCTTCAATCCACCTCACGTTCTAAAATTTCCTTCATTACTCCTCATAACTTCCCTTCATTAATAACCAAAAAACCTTTCATTTGCATGGTGTTCCTAGGTGAGAAAATGGTGTTCTCGATGGTAACTTCTTCAACATTTTTTTTGGAATTGAAATTTAATTTGGCGGATAGGTTGAAAGTTCTATATGATGCTTTATCATTGGTATATAAATCTAAAAGGAATCCCAACATAAGTTTTGTGATTGAGAATGAAGATGCCTTGAAGTGTCTGGTGGAGCATAACCACAATATTGGTTGGGTGGAAATCCATATGCAAGTTATTATAAATATAAGGTTTTCACTTCCCAAAACACTTAAAATGTACCCCCTGAAATGTATATTATCATTAAACTTTGGTGAAAGTTGTGATTTTTGTGATACAAGTGTGGACAAATGATAAATATATAGTAAAAAATTTTAGGTTTAATTTTAAATATGACAGTCACATGTTAACTATAAGACTCTTTTTTGTTAAGTTTAACAAAAAGTTTATATATTTGATGTTATTTTTGGTGTTAATATTAGCATTTGACTGTTTTTTTAAATTTGTACAGTATAATTCCTACGTTGAACTCGCAATGCTATGAGACTACTCCCGTTGCTATGTCTAGTTCAGAGAAGATTCCTAATGATGATATAGTGAGATTCGATGACATTATCAACAATATTTTCCTGATTCTTGCATTGTGGCACACTACATTAATTGAATACTTACGACAATTTGAAAGTGTCAATGACTTAAGGTTAATTTTACAATACTATCCTATAGCCAAACAGTTTGATTTACGAAATATGCCCTATGAACGTGCAAAATAAGTTCCTCACGCAATATGGACTTAGGATTAATTACAATAATATATGACTGGGGTAAAGAGAGCCCACAAGAGTAGCTTTACGGTGATGCGTATGAGTCGTACGATCAACTAAGATGGTGAAAATCACATTTTTGCTATTACATTTACAACTTATTTCAATATTTATTGGTTAAATGACACTTAGATACCCTAATGTTTCACTATCTTTACGCTTAAAAAATCCTAAGTTATAAAAAGTAACATAAAAATACCCTAAGTTGTCAAAAAGCAACACATTGCTACATTCTCTTAAATAGATAACAGAATATTCCTAGAAATATCCCCCTGTACATAGTACACAAAAACTTTATTACTGTATTGCCCATATTTATTACTTTAATTACCATTTTACCTACATTTTACCTATCCTTTAATTTATTACTAATATTTTAATGGAGGTAATTTTCGTGAGAACTAACCGTGGACAACATGGAGTAGTTTTATGCTACTTTTTACAACTTAGGATTATGATATTTATGTGCAAGATAGTCATTTTTTAAAATAAATTAAGGGACTAGCTAATATGGGGGAGGGAAAAAAATAAAAAATAAAATAAAATTAAATTAAATAAAATTTAAAAAATTGTTTTCTTACCTATTGCTCTAACTTTTTCCCCTCACTCGGATCCCGTGATCACCACCCGCGTTAGAGTTCACGCTAATTCGCGGGCTTTCGCAAAAGAAGGCCCACTTTCTGATCTCCTTCTCAATGGGCTTCTTCTCATCAACGGCCCACCCCGTCATCGCCGGCGGCACACCAGCGCCGCCACCACATCGGACTCTCATCCCGAGTGGGCCCCAGTTCCTGCTCTACCGCCCTCGACGGTTCTCTGACGGCGGCCGCTTGCGAATGGCCGTTAAAATGGACGGAAAAGAAAGCTCTGTTGCTGACACCGTCATTGACGCCGTTGACGCCAAGCCGGTGCCTCTTCCATTAAAATTTCCAATTTGGTTTACTAGTTATACTGTTTATAGCACAGCAATCACAAATTTGTGAAAAAGTAGCAATTTTTGCTAATTTTTCTCTAAAATTTTCTTAATTTTTAGGGTTTTTAGTCGATTGATAAACCTAAGTCTTCGCTCACTGTTAAATGGCTAGTGATTAATCATATTTGAAGAATAAATTCTCTTAAAATTTTAGATTGGTGACATAAAATAGTACCCAGAATTTTGTATACTACTATTAGCAGTATCCACATTTTGAATCAAATCTGAAATCTGGACGTCAAAATTGAAAATCTGCACCTTAAATATCTACTATACGTTGGAAACGAAATTTTGAAGGATTTCAACGAGTTTACCCATGTATCGTAGGTTATCAAAATAAAAGTTTCAGAATTTTCATGAAGTTAGTTAACTCTATGCCCCTTAATGTGATAAAAAACTCATAGAAATAATTGGAATTGGTGTTTCTAGGTAGTCTGTGTGTATTAAATTGCATCCGATGGTATGAATTTTCAATTTGGAAACCCAAAATTTGAATTGAAATCGATAGTGTCCACGTCTTGCATACTATTAATAGCATTCTAGCTCAACATTTTTCTTTTTCTTATTTTCATTGTCTATCTTACTTGAATTTATTGGATACTGACCCTGTTGTTAGGGTTTTAGGTGATCGCTGAACCTCCAACGAAACCAGAGCGAGATTATACAGGAACACCATATGTTCCCATTTATGTAATGCTACCTGTAAGTTACTCATCAGAAACCTTGTCAAAAAAATGAATTTGGACTCATTGTCTATCAAGACAGAATTTAATCTTGTAATTCATTTTATTATAGCTTGGTGTGATCAATATGGACTGTGAGCTAGTCAATCCAAACAGTCTATTGGAACAATTGAAGGCTTTAAAATCTTCCAATGTTGATGGTGTCATGGTTGATTGTTGGTGGGGAATAGTGGAGGCTCATGAACCACAGCGATATAGATGGAACGGTTATAAGCAGCTTTTTCATATGGTTCGAGAACTTGGGCTTAAGCTGCAGGTGTGAAACCTTGAAGGGCTTTTTGAGATATGAATCCCTCAAATCTTCAATAATTCCATATTACTCCTTTAATTCTTTGAAATTGTATATACATCCCTCAAATCCTAAGGGTCTTGCAATTTGGTCCCTGAATTACCATAATCACTCTTAGCTTATGTTTTTGTGAACACAGAGGTGTTTGGGGTTCTTGGGGGGAACATAACATAAGGTGTATTTGCTAATTGAGACACCAATTTGCTAGACGCCTTAGGATTTGGATGATGTACGGGCAAATTGAAGATTTGAGGCACTAATATGGAGCTATTGAAGATTTGAGAGACTGATATCTAAAAGACCCAACCTTGAATGTCGCAAAATGGCACATTTGATATATTGTAGGTCTAAAACTATGATTTTTTATGTTAAGGTGGTTATGTCATTTCATGAATGTGGAGGAAATGTCGGTGATGATGTGTGTATTCCTCTGCCTCATTGGGTGATAGAGATCGGTAGGGGTAATCCGAACATTTTCTTCACTGATCGAGAAGGAAGGAGAAACTACGAATGCCTTTCGTGGGGGATTGACAAAGAACGGGTTTTGAGAGGTCGAATGGCAGTTGAGGTTTGAATACTTGATCCTTAACTTAGCAAGGATTAGTTCGGTGCTCTCTTTAGTTATTTGTACTTTGTAAATAATCAGTTTAAGTGGATCCTCTATCTAATTGAACAATATTGAAGATACAATGTAAACACTAAAACGCACTTAGGTTTTATGTGAGTTATATGCATAAAGTGCAGAAAAAATGCACGTAGAAGCTTTTGATACTTATATTTACAATTAGATATCTTGTAACTTTAGTACACCTTTTGTGTTCTTAATCTGAGGAAAGTTAGAAACAAATTGTGTGATTTTTACCTGATGTGGTGAATTTCTATTTTCTTATGTATTTTTTATTAACTTTTTAGGTGTACTATGACTATATGAGAAGCTTTAGGCAGGAGTTTGATGAGCTTTTTGAGAATGGGAGCATCACTGAAATTGAAATTGGATTAGGACCCTGCGGAGAACTTCGCTACCCATCTTATCCAGAAAAGCATGGGTGGAAATACCCTGGCATTGGAGAGTTTCAGGTAACCTCGCTCCATATGGAGAAGATCATGGAAATCGTAACTAAGTTTTAATCATCTTTCAAGGTTTTAAAACTAGGTCCTGAGATATTCTCCAGGGAAAAATATGAACAAGAAGGAACCTTCCCTTAACCCAGAATGCTACATGAAACATAAGAATCTATCTTATTATTCAGGAATATGACTACCTTACTTCCTTTTATGCAGTGGTATAATTCAGTTGCTTCAAGTGTTGGGATGAAGAGTCGCATATATTTCTGAGCTTTTTCACACAGACCCCTGTACTATTGCTTTTTTTAAGTTACTACCCCTATAGTTTCATTGTTGTGGATAGGCCCTATAGCTTGAATTTTTTGACTCTACTCACTGATTCACTCATGCAATATCTGCCAAAATTTCACCACGGGTGAAAGAGTATTTAGAGAGAGAGAGAGAGAGAGAGAGAGAGACTCACAGAATCTAATCCGCAACAATAAAACTATAGGTGTAGTTATCCAAAACAACAATAATATGAGGTACCTATGTGCAATTAGCCCATAAAGTTATTGTCACCTATCAATCATCCATTGTCAAGTAGATTCTCCAGTTGTTATATGTTTATGAGAAATTGTGTCTTTTGCAGTGTTATGATGAGTATCTTTTGAGGAATTTAAAAGAAGCAGCAGAGACAAGGGGCCACTCTTTATGGGCAAGAGGACCAGATAATGCTGGCTCTTATAATTCCTACCCACATGATACTGGATTTTTTCGTGATGGTGGTGATTATGATAGTTATTATGGTAGATTCTTCCTTGGATGGTATTCCCAAGTGTTGATAGATCATGCTGACCGTGTATTGTCACTGGCTAAATTGGCATTTGAGGGTTCATGCATTGCTGCAAAGGTTAGTGATATTTCTTCCGTCCCCTCGTAAATTTGAAATTTCACTATGCTTTGATCTTTATAGTTTATGGGTATTGTTTATCGCTTAGTTCTTGACTTATGTTTCAATATGCACCAAATTTGAGTTGTGAAACTATTGGCTCTTAAAAGCTTCAGATAGTCACCAAACTATTTATTCCACTGTTACTAGTTTTTCCTGACACTATAATTTATTTTTCTGTTGTTGTATATTATCATTTTTCATCAACTTTTCTTGACCTTGTTCTGTTGTTCTTTCTCACCAAAAAATAAAAAATAAATAAAAAGAGTGACTTATTGTATTGATTCACTCAATTTCCTACAATGTAAAACACTGTTAATTGCTTGAACTGTTTCCGGACTCCACATAATCAAGACTTAGTTTCAGCCCATTCTGTATATCCTAATCTAGTTTTTGTTATTATTTCCTAATGCCTCAAATCTTGAATTTCTCTTTGTAATGCTATTCTTAATTGCTCATCTACAGTTCTTTCTGCAATAGGTATCAGGCATCCATTGGTGGTACAAGACAGCCAGCCATGCTGCTGAATTGACAGCTGGATTTTATAATCCGTGCAATCGTGATGGTTATGCTCCCATTGCAGGAATATTAAAGAAGCATGAGGTAGCTTTGAACTTCACATGTGTTGAATTGAGGACATTGGATCAGTATGAAGGCTTTCCGGAAGCTTTGGCAGATCCTGAAGGCTTGGTATGGCAGGTAATCGAAGCTACGGAGTAGTTATCCTTTTGTTTTCGCTTGATATAATTTCCTTTTCTTTTGTTTAGGTTTAGGGGTTATAGCGCTTGTAGCTCTATTTCTACTTTTAGGGTTATTTTCAGTATTATGGAGTGTAGCACTTATGTCTCATGTTCTATTTTATTAGTAAATACACCGCTAACCCCGTGACGTCGTTACTTTCTCGTTAGTTTCTAAAACTCGCATGGGAATCTCATGGAATTGTTCTTGGTAATATATAACTTCAACAGGAGTCTAGAACAAAATAGATGTCGTTGCACTCCTAGGGGGGTGCATTTGCATGTGACCCTTTATTTTTATTGGTGTTATGCCTTCAACAATGGATTCATGTAAAAATAGATCATTTCTTCAGATCAGAAGGCACAGTTCCTGAGGAGAGGCCATTCCACTATGAAAGTTCCTCATGATATGTTAATCAGGCAAGTCTCATCCTGTGGTCTTTCTTGTTTATTGATCACTGACATGCCTTACCTATTCTCTATAAGAGGACGTGAGCCCACACTCTTTTTCTCTTGAATATGAAATAAGGTGCTCATTGTCCATTCAAGCTCCTTAACAAATGCTGTTTAAGACGAGTCTCGAACCCGAGTCTCTCTTGTCCTTTCACAGGCCTTAGCAACCTTCTGCAAATGGATATATCTGTGTGTATTTGTGCATTTGCTATGAGTATATTGGTAATGTCTATTGTTGACTTGTTTCATGTTGGAGCTCATTTTTTTCCAAATGTATACGATTCAAGGGAACTTGAGCTTATCACAGGAAATGAGCTTTCTCTACGTAATATATTTGTGTGTACCAGTGTTGGATCCAGAAAAATTTTCTTAGAGGGGCAGATGATAAGTATTTATTTACCTAAATGAAAATAAACTACCAATTTTAACTGAGGTAAATAAAAATGGGCTACTAATTTGTAAATGCGAAATTCAAATTTTTAAAAAATTCAAGTTGGGGTGCAAATTGTTTAAAACTTTGGGTGCAAATTGTGATTATACTACACTATAAAACGCAATTTTCTAGATTGCTAGGGGTGCAATTGCACCCCTAATCAACTATTTGTGTCCACCCATGTTTAGCACGAATCTTGATGCGTGCATCACTATCAGCTACTAATGCATTCAATAGTAGTTGTCAATGCAGTCTGCACTGACAGTGATGAGAATATTTGTACTAGGTCAGGTGTCTTCATCTCCTGTCTCACTTACGATGTCCTATAGAGGACCCTCTATAGGGGTCTTATTTTTTATTTTTCCTATATTGTTGTGGATGGGATTGTAAAGAAATCACCATTGCCAGGTGCTAAATGTTGCATGGGATGTCGGTATACTAGTCGCTAGTGAAAATGCTCTACCATGCTACGATAGACATGGCTACAATAAGATTTTGGAGAATGCCAAGCCGTGGAATGATCCGGATGGGAGACATTTATCAGCCTTCACCTATCTGAGGCTTAGCCCAATCCTTATGGAGCCCCACAATTTTGCTGAGTTTGAGCGTTTCGTCAAGAGAATGCATGGTAAACTTCTTGTTCAATTTTTATCTTTCTTCAGATTTCTTTTAATGAAAAGATAGCACTGATCCAGTGCTTTCTAGCTATCTTAGTGATAATGTATTCGGTTTCTTCCTAGAAACCACCTTAAAATAGGGTTATTATATAAAAACCACCTTTTAATTTTAATTTATACATAAACCACCTTTGAAGTGGATTTTTGTTGCAATCAATCACTTTTGGTTAAATTTTCACTTAAAAAACAAAAAATAAACTTAAAAAATTCAAGTTCAAGGCACGTCAGTTGTATTCTAACAAGATCTAGACATTAAAATATGAATCAAGTGTCTTGAATGTGAGTTTATTTAGGGTAATTTTGGATTTCTAGTGAAAAATTGACTGGGAGGTAGTTGATTGCAACAAACTCTCACTTTAAAGGTGGTTTATGTATAAACTGAAATTGAAAGGTGGTTTCCGTATAATTACCTTATTTTTAAAGGTGGTTTCTAGGAAAAAGACGCTAATATATTGGACACATTGGGCGCTTTTTCGTAATACATTTGGTGTCTGGTTTTGTTACTCATAATTAATAGCTGAACTTCTTCTGACCAAATCACAATTATTTATTCATTAGTTTTTACCTGTTTTTCTTGCGTACACATGCAAGTACACACACCGATTTGTAGATTATGCCCTCTTTACCCACCCACCCACACGCGCGCACCCACACACCCAAAAAAAACACATCAAATTGAGCTACTTTTTTCTTACCACTTATCTTTTTTTATTGATGGAATGCAACTCACAAGCGTAAAAAGCTAACTTTTCTTTGTACAAGCCTCTTCTTTCTTTTCTTTTTTCTTTTTAACGAGGGGAAAAATTGACGAATATAGTCACATGATAAAATGAAAGAGACTTTATCCCTTTATTATCGTGAGATTTATTTCAGCGAAATAAACTAAGGATTTCTTTTTATATCATGGATTTAGTTACCTTAGAGTGGGATGAGTGGATGACCATCAGGTGTCGGTTGAATTATTTTGCCTTTGTGCGGCAGTGATTAGGAAATACTCCTGAAATTAGCATTTTAGTTTCCAAATGTTTTGATCTTTCGTCATCATTTTCACACTATCAGCGGCAGTTGAATAATGTTTTGACAACAGCCTTTCTATTCTTTTTCTTTTTTTACTTTTCTTGGGCAGGTGAAGCTGTTCCTGATCTACAGTTGCAGAGAATTGGAAAAGAAAATCATGATGACTCTTAAATTGTCAAAGATCAACTCTTTGAAAAATTACGGGGTAACGGATTGATGGTTGTAAATTTTGAACTTTTGTTCAATAACATAGTCTACTATGGCGTGTTATCTTGCTTAACGTTTCAGGCCGTGCTCGAGCTATAAGCGCTTTAACTTACTGATCAAGCAATCTTTAGAAGGAAAGAATATAATCAGTATGTGAGGATATAGTTTGTCCATCTTTAAAAGGGTTAATTGCGGATAGATCATGTGTACTATCTCCCGATTGCAGATAGAACCCTTGTACTTTTATTGGTGCGCCTAGACCCCTGTACTATTGCCCAAGTGCGGACAGTTTTTTTTTTTTGGCAGTGTGCGGGGGTTGTTTTGGGCAACTCCTAAAGGAGTTTATTTTTGGGGTCCCCCTCATCCAACTCCTACAATTGCATTTTGGTGTACATAAACCAGCTCATGCACGAAACTCATCGACCTTCACTCATTGCATTCTAACATTAACTCAACCTCTCCTCCTCTTCTTCATCATTAATGGACATCCAAACTGAGGACGAAGCAATTGTCAATGTCGAGGTGGACGAAGGATGAAGTTGAGTGTGAAGATATTGAAGCAGTTGTCGATATCAAGATTGATGGAGGCAGCGTGGGGATATTATTGACCGTATCAGCATCCACCATTGTGTAGTACGTGATTGCTAGCAAGTTTGAGAAGTAATCTCCGTAGCCTTTAAATGCTTCTTAATAATATCTCCTCTTGCTCGGCGTCACTCTTGATCCTCCCTCTCCTAGTTTGCATAACCTCTTGGGTCCCTAACGTTTATACTTTCTCGATGTTTTTATCTCACTTTTGAGTATGGAATATTATTCTCTTTTTCGAGTTTTTTTATTTTGTACCAATGGTTAAAGTTCCTCCATCTTTAACATTCATAACACTGACATGGAACCACTAGAGTGGAAAGAATAGCCAGCAATAATGATTAAGGCGAGATGACATTTCACAAATTTAAACTTCGGGGTATTTATTTCGAAAAGGAACGAAGTTTTCAGGTAGATGTGCAAATAACTCTTAAGAAAAAACAGAAAACACCACCACCGCGATCAAAGCCTAATAATAAGATCGAGGCTTAACAGCAAGTCACTTCTGGGTGATTAACTATCACACTAACTATTGGAAATACATCACATTATGTTGTTCCATAAAAACACATAGGGTCAACTTCTATGATACGAGCCTCTGAAGCTTTCAAGTGCACTCATTTGAAAGCCTTCACAAGCTGGTAAAGCCCCATCATCAACTCTCTGGACTTCGTGTAGAAATTGAGGCTTATCGCCGTCATTCTTCTTACTTTTCCAGCTGCTGGAACTGATAGTTCTGAGGCTGCAAGAATGAAAAGGAGTAAAATGATCAATAAAAATTGAGTAAAATACCTAATTTACAGTTCAGTATAAAGTTCATCAAGTACATGTTTACTGAT